GCTGATTCTCTTCCCTAATTTATCTTGTAGAATAAGATAAATCTGGTGTAAAAAGCAACAATAACCTCTAGAGTCCTGAGCTTTGGAAACCCAAGCTGTGCGGTCCTCATATGAGGACGCAGGGACTCTAGAGGTTAAGGGGTGATTAGCTAATTTATAATACATTTTAATGCAGGCTTCTGTTTTATATATATATAAAAACAACAACAACACAAGGTCAGATTTTTGCCATGTAATGCAAATATCATTAATGAACAGCAACATGAACTCCATAAAAGCACAGCGAGACTTGGCACAGTGATGGTAAAACCAAACGTTTTCTAGACTGATTATAGTTACAGGTTGTTTACCATAAAGAATTGTTGTTGAATTGTGTTGTAATCCATACATTGAAGACTGACAGGTGCTTTAGCCTTATTGAGATAAATCAAGTCATTTAAAAAAGTCTTATTCAAAGGAAAAGGTTGTTTAACAGTCCTTTATCACATTTTTTTTTTTTTTTGTATGGCTCAGATGATATCTCACCCATTATTAGGCAATGTGATTAATGGTCAAAACAACACGTTAAGGTCCTGAATGATCAGATTTTCAAAATGCTCATTTTCCTCTCATGCTTTTTCTTTACTGTAGTTATTTATGAAATTTCACTCAGACTTGGATAACTTTGCATCTCTTTTTTGCTGTTGGTGTATTTAATTCCATGATACATTTACAGTAGTGGTATTTGTAGTGGGCATTGGATGTATTGAAAGGCTAGTCCCTTGAGATGCAGCATCTCATTTTCTCATAGCAGTAGAGATGGCAATTTTGAATTATCAAAACAGTTTTGATACATTTGAAGCAACCAGTGGTTTTGAAATATTTCAGTACATTTCAACACACTGGCAAACAACTGAATATAGCAGAAACAGTAAAAACATTGCTGCAGCTGTCACATTACTCATGTTTTGAAACCATATAACAAACCTTACCTTGAATTCAGGCATCTTGAACGGCATCAGTACATTTCTCGGTGTCACCATTGCCATCTCTAAGTATTAGTATGTACAGTAAGACGGATCATCACTTAAATAAAGCATCCTTCATGAAGTGGAATGAAATTTATTGGATATTTCAAACTTTTTTAACAAATAAAAAACTGAAAAATTGGGCGTGCAAAATTATTCAGCCCCCTTAAGTTAATACTTTGTAGCGCCACCTTTTGCTGCGATTACAGCTGTAAGTCGCTTGGGGTATGTCTCTATCAGTTTTGCACATCGAGAGACTGAAATTTTTGCCCATTCCTCCTTGCAAAACAGCTCGAGCTCAGTGAGGTTGGATGGAGAGCGTTTGTGAACAGCAGTTTTCAGTTCTTTCCACAGATTCTCGATTGGATTCAGGTCTGGACTTTGACTTGGCCATTCTAACACCTGGATATGTTTATTTGTGAACCATTCCATTGTAGATTTTGCTTTATGTTTTGGATCATTGTCTTGTTGGAAGACAAATCTCCGTCCCAGTCTCAGGTCTTTTGCAGACTCCATCAGGTTTCCTTCCAGAATGGTCCTGTATTTGGCTCCATCCATCTTCCCATCAATTTTAACCATCTTCCCTGTCCCTGCTGAAGAAAAGCAGGCCCAAATCATGATGCTGCCACCACCATGTTTGACAGTGGGGATGGTGTGTTCAGGGTGATGAGCTGTGTTGCTTTTACGCCAAACATAACGTTTTGCATTGTTGCCAAAAAGTTTGATTTTGGTTTCATCTGACCAGAGCACCTTCTTCCACATGTTTGGTGTGTCTCCCAGGTGGCTTGTGGCAAACTTTAAACGACACTTTTTATGGATATCTTTAAGAAATGGCTTTCTTCTTGCCACTCTTCCATAAAGGCCGGATTTGTGCAGTATACGACTGATTGTTGTCCTATGGACAGAGTCTCCGACCTCAGCTGTAGATCTCTGCAGTTAATCCCGAGTGATCATGGGCCTCTTGGCTGCCTCTCTGATCAGTCTTCTCCTTGTATGAGCTGAAAGTTTAGAGGGACGGTCAGGTCTTGGTAGATTTGCAGTGGTCTGATACTCCTTCCATTTCAATATTATTGCTTGCACAGTGCTCCTTGGGATGTTTAAAGCTTGGGAAATCTTTTTGTATCCAAATCCGGCTTTAAACTTCTCCACAACAGTATCTCGGACCTGCCTGGTGTGTTCTTTGTTCTTCATGATGCTCTCTGCGCTTTAAACGGACCTCTGAGACTATCACAGTGCAGGTGCATTTATACGGAGACTTGATTCCACACAGGTGGATTCTATTTATCATCCTTTGTCATTTAGGTCAACATTGGATCATTCAGAGATCCTCACTGAACTTCTGGAGAGAGTTTGCTGCACTGAAAGTAAAGGGGCTGAATAATTTTGCACGCCCAATTTTTCAGTTTTTTATTTGTTAAAAAAGTTTGAAATATCCAATAAATTTCGTTCCACTTCATGATTGTGTCCCACTTGTTGTTGATTCTTCACAAAAAATTACAGTTTTATAGCTTTATGTTTGAAGCCTGAAATGTGGCAAAAGGTCGCAAAGTTCAAGGGGGCCGAATACTTTCGCAAGGCACTGTACATATAGCAAAGTAAGTTGGGGTTTTTTTGTTGTTGTTATTATTGTGTGCATTTAGGCAGACAGTAATTTTATGATTTCTATAAAAATTAACTAAGCAATGTAAAACTTAAATATATGTACAGTAGTTCATAACAGCTCCTTTATTTTTGTATCTGGTCAGTCATGTGGTAAATAAGGTGGATGCAATTATAGCTTTGATTTTTGCTCTATTCAAGAACATTCATGAATATGTCTAACAGTTATGTTGCTGGCTCACCATTAATTTTGAAGTCAACATTTTATAATAACAAAAAATATTGTTTGCTCTGTGTAAATGGAGCCTTCTGTAAACACTAGTTGTTCAGCTTCAGTTGCATTTTTAACAAAAAAAAAAACCCAGAGGGCACATAAGTCATCACATCCCAGCTGTCTGACACAGCTCTTCTTGTAGGATTGCTGGTTTTGTGCACAAATACAGAACACTGAGCTACTGTAAACCAGCATGAGAAGAGCGAGACCTCACTTGTCTTCATTTGAAGTTTTGTCCAGTCTTTAAAATGTTTAATTTAAGATGAACTTTTGAATTTTGATTTTGTAAAATTTGCCAAAGCTAAAATATTCCAACCCCTGGTGTGGTCCTTATGGTAAAAATAAAAAGCAGTTTTGTTTTGTTTTTTACTTAAACTCAGCTATGCACTAAAACTCACATATACCAAATGTCAAGTCACCACAGTGACTGCAATTAGATCCTGGCATTATATTTTCAGTGAAATTTCAATAAAACAAAATCATTTGTGGCACATAATGCAACCTGTTAGGACTATTTCTAGGTTTAGAGTGATATGGAATGCATCCTGGGAAATAGGGAGCTCTAACATGTAGCTTTTTGATTCTTCATGCTACAGTTGATCACACTGGTGAGTATTGTGCCTGCTGATTTCAGTGCCCTGCTGTGGACACCTTTCATTCCTTTGAATTGTTAGCACTGAGTTTAATGCTCAGGGCATCAGTGCCACTCCAGGGCTCACCACTACCAACAGGACATGACTGAAGGGTGAATCCTATTCCATCACACGATTAAGTCAGTCTATACTTGTACAAACCCCAATTCCACTGAAGTTGGGACATTGTGTAAAACGTAAATAAAAACAGAATATAGTGACTTGCAAATCCTTTTTGACCAATATTTAATTGAATACACCACAAAGACACAGATATTTAATGTTCAAACTGATAAACTTTGTTTTTTGCAAATATTCACTCATTTTGAATTTGATGCCTGCAACACGTTCCAAAGGAGCTGGGACGGGTATTTTTTTTACCACTGTGTTACATCACTTTCCTTTAACAACACTTAAGTGTTTGGGAACTGAGGACACTAATTGTTGAAGCTTTGTAGGTGGAATTATTTCCCATTCTTGCTTGATGTATAACTTCAGTCTGGGGTCTGCGTTGTCATATTGTGCGCTTCATAATGCGCCACACATTTTCAATGGGAGACAGGTCTGGACTGCAGGCAGGCCAGTAGGGTACCCGCACTCTTTTATTATGAAGCCACGCTGTTGTAACACATGCAGAATGTGGCTTGGCATTGTCTTGCTGAAATAAGCGGGGACGTCCCTGAAAAAGACGTTGCTTGGATGGCAGCACATTTTGCTCCAAAACCTGTATGTACTTTTCAGCATTAATGGTGCCTTCATAGATGTGCAAGTTACCCACGCCATGGGCACTAACACACCCCCCCATACCATCACAGATGCTGGCTTTTGAACTTTGTGCTGATAATTATCTGGATGGTCCTTTTCCTCTTTAGCCCGGAGGACATGATGTCCATGATTTCCAAAAATAATTTGAGATGTGGACTCGTCAGACCACAGCACACGTTGTCACTTTGCATCAGTCCATCTCTGATGAACTTGGACCCAGAGAAGCTGGCGGGTAATATCCTTTACAGAATGATGTCTGTTTTTAATGTGGTGCCGCCTGAGGGATCGAAGGTCACAGGCATTCAGTGTTGGTTTACAGCCTTGCTGCTTACGTGCAGAGATTTCTCCAGATTCTCTGAATCTTTTGATGATATTATGGACTGTAGATGATGAAATACCTAAATTCCTTGCAATTGTATGTTGAGAAACGTTGTTCTTAAACTGTTGGACTATTTGCCCCAACCTTGCTTGTGAATGACTGAGCCTTTTGTGATGCTCCTTTTATACCCAATCATGACGTTCACCTGTTTCCAATAAACTTGTTCACCTCTGGAATGTTCCAAACAGGTGTCTTTGGAGCGTTCCTCAGCTTTCCCAGTCTTTTGTTGCCCCTGTCCCAGCTCTTTTGGAATGTGTTGCAGGAATCAAATTCAAAATGAGTAAGTATTTGCAAAAAAAACCTCATAAAGTTTATCAGTTTAAACATTAAATATTTTGTCTTTGTGGTGTATTCAAATATGGGTCAAAAAGGATTTGCAGGTCAATGTATTGTGTTTTTATTTACATTTTACACAGTGTCCCAACTTCATTGGAATTGGGGTTTGTACATGGTTAGTGATACTTCATGAGAAGTGAAGCCTGTCATCAAACATAACAGTCAACATAACACATTGGTTATGGCCACAAATGTGCCACCAAAGTCTCGTCCAATTTGCTGTAGTTAAATGCTAATGTTCTGTTTTTTTGTGTTAAATTGTTCATAGTCCATTATCTAGTACAGGAGTTTATTGTAGGATATGGACAGAAAACCTCATTACCATATTGAAACTTCTCAGAGAGAACAATAAAAGAAACCCTTGATAAGAGATTACATTGAACCATCAATGAACAGAAGCTAATCCACCTAAAGGGCAGGATTCACTGTGTATCTCTTGAAGTTTGACTGTCCACATTTTTGCCATTTACACATTTCCCACTCATCTTGTTCATGTTTTCTTCACATCTTCTCCTAGTTGAGTAAGTTATTCTCATTATTCCAACTTCATATGACATTTTGTGATGGTGTGTTTCTGTCTCTGTTTGGGGAGTGTGTAAACCATAATTTACTATTTTTGATATTTCCTGTATATAGGGTGCGGCTGCAGAGGCTTGATGTTACCACTTTGGTATACAGATTTTTCCACAAGTACGATTGTTAGCCAGCTCGCTGTTTACTAAATAATTTAGTGGTAATGTTATAAGTAACATTTAGTCTCAGTGAATCTCATGCTTTAATATATATATATATCCCAATTTGGGTTGCGTCAGGAAGGGCATCTGGCGTAAAACGCATGCCAAATGTATACATGTGAACAGTTGAATTGCTGCGGCGACCCCACCGGGGAACAGCCGAAAGTGGTAGTAGTAGTAGTAGTAGTAGTCTCAGTGAATCATATCAGTTTAGGATATATAAGAAAGTTGTAATCAATAACAAGCATGCAAATAATAAATGATTAGGAAATAAAAATAGCGAAACATCTGACAATTCACAGAAAGAAGCCGATTAGCTTCATAGTGCAGTTGTGGAAAATGTGTTTAGTTTCAGTTATAGCTATTCCATGGCACTCATTTCTCGTACATAACAGAGATTAGACTAGGGTGGTGGTTTGATAATAAGATGTACACAGCTATTTTGAGACCCAGGCAAAGACTATACCTTTAAAATTACAATTGCTTACCTTACAGCTCCTTTAAGCAGTATTGATTTACAGTGGTCCGCTAGGGGGCAGGATAATGTGTTCTAGCTACTGCTTGGTGTTGTGGTCATGTTTCTGACAGCCTGACTAATATAGGTCCAGTATCTGTTGGCTTTCTATTGCAGTTTTGGCCTAGATTAACTTCTGAGAAAATATCTGAATAATTAAGTGCCAGATGTCTACAGTATAACTGGCTGTATGTATGGGCTTGTTATCATGCTGCAGATTGAATTCGGGACTGGTCACACACACACCTTCCTGATGGATAAGAATCTAAACATCTAAAGTGCTTAAAACTGTACAGTATTAGTCTGAAGGTATTTTTATATGAAAACAGGGAGCACCCGAGTATAACAGACATCACAGTCACGTGAGTCTTATGTGTCATACTGTATAGGGGTTGGACATTAAAAGAGCACTTGTACTATTATACAATGGAGTGTATTTGTGAAGCAGGTAACAATGAAGCTGAGGTTTTGGTTCAAGTCTCAAACATTTCCAAGCCTGTAGTGTGTGTGTGTGTGGTATTTATTTACTGGCTGCATTACAGACCATGGACAAATTAACAGAAACCTTAAAATAAATCTCTAAGTATCAGGTGTATCGGTTCAAGTGAGTGGTAGTTTTTAGGTGCATAGCTTTGTCTCCTATATATCATTTATTCATTTTGGTGAACATATCCTTATAAACAGCAGTTATTACATCCATATTGCAAGGTATTCAGGTTATTTTATCTACAATAGTTATTTATTTGCAGATTCTGTAGTTGGAAAAAGCAGCCTCTCATGTACTGATAAAAAAAAAACACATTTACTCAAGTATTGTACTTAAATATAATTTTAAGATACTGTACTTTTTAAACTTGTCTTTACATCTTGTCCATCTTTGTACTTTTACTCTACTGCAAGAATGATTTAACACTATCAATGAGGTAATACTGCAGAATATGCTCCTTCACTTAAGTTGTGGTTTTTTAACAGTGTATTGTTCATAGTTTTATAGTCACTTCTACTTAAACCATTGATGGTTGGCCACAAGGGGGCTGAGAAATATCAAAAATAGGTTTAACACTTGCACATCTAACACATATCACCATTGTATAAAGCTATAAGGATAATGGGCAAACAGTTGTCTTTACTCTGCTTTTACATCTGCTTTTGTCTTCATTGACCCCTGGAAAAAATAAGTAGTTATTCATCTTTCTGTATGCACTACTGTTCACAAGTCACATTGTAATGCTGTCTGTCTGCTGAGCAGAACAGATAGAGTTCAGTATGTTTATCAGAGTTGATGTACTGTCTACAGGGGCCTGTTCTGCTGAATTTGGTATTAATAATCCAATATGCCACTGAGAAATGGCAAATAAGGCTGCAGCAAGCAGTTGTTTTCATGACCAATTATTCTATCAGAAAATTGTAAGAAATGGCAAGTCACTTTTTGCTTCCAGTCTAATTGGCCAATTAGCTAATTGTTGCAGCACATTACAAATGTCGGTAGTATAGTTTTTTGGTGTATAGTTATCATTTAATCAGCAGGAGATGTACAAGAACCAAAGGTTTCAGGTCCTGCCTTGTTTTCTAGCCATGCCAGGAATGTAACTGTTTTTGACTTTTTCTGCAGGTGCCAGAATTGAAGAGTTTCTTTATGAAAAGTTGGACAGGAAGGCACCTTCCAGAGTTACCAATGCAGAACTGCTGGGTCAATATATGCAGGATGCAGCTAAGGAGTTTGGTCCTGGAACTCCATATGGTATGTATACAAACGTGCTGCAAGGGAACAGGAATCAAGTGACACTGTGTCTCTGCTTACATGCATGTAACTTGTAAGGTGTAAATGAATGCAGAACCCATTCCAGTTGGAATGTGTAGCACTGGCCAGACAACATCTGGAGGTGGTTTGGCCCGCAGTCCTAGTGGCTCTCACTCAAGTGTGAACACATTAATGTACAAGACTACCAAAAATGCCACTGACATTGCCATTTGACCACTAGTGTGGTTTTTGCAGTTTCTGTACAGTTTAGTTTGATGCCGCCTACTGGTTCACGTTTTATAATGCAACTGAATGTCAGGAACTACCACATTTGTGTTGAGAATTTGGGCATTGTGTCCAGCTGTTCAACATACCTGGCCAATAAAGCTGGCTCTGATTCTATTTAAAGTGAATTTTAGTTGAAGGTGTTGGATTGACCAGTAGTAATGAGAATTGTATATCTGTGTATTCTCCACAATACACAGATATACAATCATATAACCATCAAAAGTCAGCTTAAAAGGCACAGTTTTAGTTGATGTAAAAAATAAAAAGCAGAAGCAGCCACGCAGAATCAAAATGGCAATTTATTCCACAGCTTTGATGCCCTGACAGCAAATGAACGAGCAGCCTTGGTTGCGAATTTAGGCTTAGTAACTGAAGTTTCTTTTTCTGTCGATCAGGATGTGTGTTAAAAGCAAAAATGCTCACTGTTTTGTATGGAGCAAGATGTGTAGTAGTATAAGACTGTACAGCCTCTAAATCTAAAATCTGTACAGTTATTTTAATAACAGCCTATTTTTTTTCTCTAAGTAGAAACATGTATTAATGTCTGAAGTGTAACACCATAATTCGTATATAAAAGATGGATGATCACCACTTACTTCAATATGCAAAGTCGAAGCCAAAATATCATGACTATGGCAGCTGCTGTTTTGCCTTTTTGCAACCAGATTACACGCAGTCGTAGCCAGAAGTGGAGTGACGGCATCGGACCACTAATCCAAGCTGTCAAATCAACTGAACTACACCTCTTTTTATATCATCAAATGCCTTATTAAACACTAACGGAGGAAAATGACCACTTGTACACAAATCAGTGTGGTAATATCTATCACAAATGACAGAAATCACCTTTTGGGAATGATGTATTTGAATTGTACTTTGAGTTTTCATTTTGGCTTATGTCTCATCCACTAACATGGAAGTAGATTTATAACCTATACTTCTGTATAGGTTATAAATTGTGCCCCTTTGGCTTCACTTCTGGGAACTGCCAGGCTGTCCACCTTTATATACAGTCAGCGTGCATCACACACTGTTGTGCCATCTGTGTTTGGGGTTTGTCTCATTGCAAGGCACAGGCACAGACATAGACTAGAGTATCTTCAGAAGACATGCTAAAGCTTGGGATGGATTTGAAATGAAGACTGGTGAATGGATCTACTGTTTCTTGCAGGCAGTGCTTTGATGAAGGTGGGGGAATGTGAGAGAAGATTAGGCACAGCAGAGAGGGAGTTCCTCCAGACATCAGCCATCAGTTTTCTTACCCCCCTCAGGAACTTTCTGGAAGGAGACTGGAGGACCATTTCAGTGAGTCTGAAACATTACATTCACTTTACTGTTACTGGTAGAATGACCATTCACTGAATTTAAGATGCTTCTTCTTGACGTTACCAATTCAGACTTGCGTTGAAGGCATTAGTATCATGCTAACTGTGCTGCAGATACATAGTTCTATGGCTGCAGTTGTTAGTCAACGTTCAGATTATAGTTTATCCAAGGCATATATGAAAATGGGATTGAAACATTTTATAATGAATGATTTGATCAGTTATGATATAAGTTGTGTTGCCTAAGTAATGGGAAGATGAGCGGATGGGCCACTGACTAATCTGTTAGAGAATTTCTTATATTCCCAATATGTTCATCTTTGGAAACTTTAGTATCTTCGCTATTTCCATTAAATAAAAGAAAGTTCTGTGGCTCTGAACAACACCTTTCTGCTCAGTATGAGTTGTTAAACATAGACCCACCAGATGGCCTGGCACAGTGTGAAGCTGGATTTATATTTCTGCACTAAGGGTTTTATGGCATATCTACGGAGCCTGTAGCCCACATACACCTCTAGCTGTGGCAGTTACAGCGATGCCTCCTGGAGCCTACATGGTTGGGCTGCTTGTGTTTTCCTCCACAAGTCTCTAATGCTGGTGAAAATGTATTAAACACTAGTAGCTTCAAAAATGTTTAAAAATAATATATTGAATGAGTATAAGAAATTAGTGTAGCATGCGCTTGTGTTTATGGATATTACATGAATTTTATTTATTTTAGCTTTTATTTTAGGGACGTTGCACAGAACTCCACAGAACAAAGCAAAATGATCAGTCAACACAGCTTATTAAAACATTAAATCACAATACACATAAAACCTCGATAAACAAGCGGAGAGGAGTTAATATCAACCAGATAAGAGTCAAACAAGCAAAAACGACAGGGCAAAAGGGGTTTAACTGACTATGAGGGCGGGTCTGGTTGCTTCTTGGCCAAATTTTAAGATTACATGTGAAAGAGTGGCATTTTTATATGGTAATTTTTTATACCATTGTGTCATATATTTAATGAAAGGGTGTTCCAGAACTGGGAAGCTTGTGTTATAAATGTCCCCTCTTAATCTAGATGTAGTTAAACTGTCCCCTCCATGCTTCTGAGATAGAGATGTGTTAAGTGGGGGAAGGTCAAGGTTCTAATCCTTTCAGTATTTTGTACATTAGACAAACATTATGAGAATTAAGGAGATTTTCCCATCAAAGGAGACCATATCTGGGTTGTATATTACAGCGATGATAACTTCTGGGTTTATTATCCTAAACCTTAAGTTCATAGGCGCATTGTATAGACTTTACTGTTGTATCCCTGGTAAGACGCCAAGTGGTTAAACACTATGTGTGGTAAAATCATAACATAAAAATATATCTTGGTTGTTTAAGGTGTCAAATATTTTCAAATATGATCACACAAACCAGTTGAGGAATAGTTTTTATCTCGGGGCTATAACAGGGTAATACTTGTCCTGAACAGACTAGCTAATGTGCAATTCAACGTTTTGGGCCTTATAGTTATGATTAGATGTGTATTTTAAAGTCAGATTTGGAGTTGTTTTATGCAGACTTATTATTATTTAATGTTTAGTGTATCTGTAAAGTTACCGCTCTGTATGCAGTTGTGTACAAGTCTTTTCATCTGCTGTTTTCAACCCTTTTATATTGTGTAAGATGTTCTTGCTGCCTTTTACAGTATCTCTCTGATGCACCAGGAATCAACTACAACGTCAAATAAAGATCTGTGTATTGTTGATAGTAAACATAACATTAAGGAACATGAAAAACTACTCAGTAGTCTTTTCCTATACAGTAACACATATTAAGCAAAGACTTCTCCATTGCAATCTGTATGTACACCACAGTCAACGCTCTCCTAGTGAATGAAACAACTTAAACCTCTTGTTCAATAAACACAAGTTTGAGTGATACCAGGATGTAACTCAAGTAATATTATGTCCTAGTCCACCATCATTCTTTAGTACAGAGGGAATGAAAGAATGATGACACAGTTACTCTGGGTAGTATACAGTAAATACATATGTCCAGCTTTAGAGGTTGAAAATGTAACGTGCTGTTAAAATACTACATTTCACAACCTACAGCCCACAAGTCAAACGTTATTAGTAATGAGAAATGAAGCCTTTTCCCTGTAAAATGTATACAGTACTCGCCAGTCGGTATGTTTGGAAGCCTACTTATGCCATGCCAGGTTGTGAACCAGTACTATACCAGAGCTTGAATGGTTGTGGTTACTCAGTTAAACTCAACTACTGCCTGAATGTGTCATTGTATGTGTCTACTCCAGAAAGAACGACGTCTTCTGGAGAATCTCCGTCTGGACCTGGACGCCTGTAAAACACGTCTGAAAAAGGCCAAGGTGGCCGAGGCTAAAGCTTCGGTGAGTCTTTTAGCGCCTCCCAGCCACAGCCCCATCTCTGTACCCATTCCCATAATCATTCAAATGTAGTAAAAAGCTTGGTGGTGCTGGCATTAACCACGACTAACTGTCTTGTATTCACAACATTTGCAGTGCGAGGGTGAAGTGAGTATTAAAGATATTTTTAGAGACTTTAAGTATCGTGCACAAGTGGAGTTATTTTACCTTTCTCACTTGCTTTGAATTTAGTTTCTGTGTCATTCAGCTACTGGTGGCAAGAAACTATTAAGCTTTTTAAATCATTCTAATCACTGAAAAATGTCTTTAACCTTAAGTTGACATTTTACTGATAAAGCCTTAAATTGTAGCATATTAAACAATATGATGGAAACTTAAAACCAGTCACTGTATGGGGTTAGAGTGACTGGTTAGAATGTTTTATTCTATGAGCCACTTCTTCAGGGAGCCACTTTTGAGAACAGCTTACTGGAGATCCAATGGCTCATTAAACAACATGCATCACAACTGAACTCTCTGCTGAAGGGATCTGTGCACTATTATTTGGTCAGATCAGATCTGTGTGCTCAGATCATTTTGGTTCATTTGTTTTTAGAATCGAATTATCCATGAAAGTCTTTAATTGAAAAAGCATATCTCTACTGAACGCTGACTTCATACCGATATCTGCTACAAGCTGAGATTTTTGTGCTCTGTGAATGCAGATTCATTGAATAATTGTCTCTATAACTGCCATAACTAAACGTGACAAGACAAATGACTAAAGCTTTAAGTGCAGAATTAATTGGAAAATACAGATGAACAGGTTTAAAATTACTGGACATTCAAAAGTACTGTATGTGCGTCAGTGCATTTGGTATTTTATTTGTTGTCTAGTAGAATAATGTGAATGGCTGCTATAAAGATTTGGAAGGCATTGGCACTCAAAACTATTTTTCCTTTGTTTTCTCCTTTAGAAAATAGTTAGAAATCCATTAGGACCTTTAATTCAAGACAAGCACCACTCTTTATTCTTCAAAATCAAGAGAGCCATCTTTGTCCCATCTAGACAAACTAGTTTCATTTCAGTGTTTTTCCCCATTGTTTTAGAAAACCCAGTTTTATTCACTCCAGTTTCCAGACTGACAATATGATGTCCTGCCAGTAGGTGGGTGTGCAACACTGACAGCTGTGGGCCCAAAGACTCTGTACTTATGTCTCACTTGAATTTTTACATCATTGTCAATGCACAGAAATCACTTTAAGCTTTCATCTTTGTCACATTCCTGAAAAATGAGGTCCTAATGGATTATATTCTTCTCCCATTCACCATGACTGAGGAATGGATGTCAGAAGCATTTCTGCTTTTTTTTGTTTGTTTGTTTGTTTTAAACTTGTCTTTGTTTCACTGCTGGACAGAATAAAAAAGTCTGACTTTAATCAGAACAGTATGATGGTGACAGTGCCATGCATTTTGCTGACTGACGAAGTCAGACTTTTGTAACCTATGTGCATGATAAACTACAGCTGACTAGCCTTCAGCCTAGCAATATCAATGATTAGCCCCATTGTAGGTGAATTAACAAATTACTCACAGTTTCAGAGGTGTTGGAGAGGATGTTTACATACACTTATGTTGTATCACCTGTCTTCTGCTTTTATGTGCTTGAGACACACCTAATGTAAAATTGCGTAGGCAGATATTACCTGTTGGCGCTCTCTCTCTCCACTTTGAAGTTGACAGGGTTGACATATACTGGTGCTTTCACACAAAGACTAAATTGCACAACTTTTTTTGAACAGTTAAAAAAAAATAAGGTCAGGTATTTCTGGCTTTTCCCTCTAGGAACCTTTAGATTAGAGGTGAACTGAAATATATTTGACTTTAATATCAAATCTCATATGACACCTTTCATTGAAGTTGGTGGGATTCAAAGTGCTTTACAGATAAAAAAAAAAAAAAAAACAATATGCAGAAGAAGGACTAAAAAGACACTAGATTAAAAAAAACAAAATACAATTAAAATAACTAGTAATTAGAATTACCACTTTGCAGTTGTATGCCTCTGCCAAGCAGTTAAATTCACGGTAATGGGACAGTTGTGGGGTCAACAATCTTGTCCTGTGACCACCAAGATCTAAGCAGTTCAAATTATGAAGAAATTTCCCTAAGGTGTTCCTGATGGGCCAGATGGGTGGATGGACAACCTGAAAGCATAATGCCTCCAGCCACAGCTGGGGCTGGTGTGGAGCCATAATTAATAAATAATGATGGTTAAAAGTTCTAATCAAAGCCAAACTGAAGAAGTACATTTTAAGCTTATGTTTAAAACCATCAGCACTTTCAGCTGTTCTCAGATTCTTGGGCAGACTGTTGTCTGGAGTAGTTGTTTGGAGCATAAAAAGTAAACGGTTTGTCACCAAAATGTTTTGTCCTGCACATTGGAACAACTAAAGACTAAGATGCCCTCCTAGTTCCTACATCCAAGTGTTTGGTAAGTGGGACGGTGCAATGAAATGATTTTGTCTGAGAGGAAAACAATGTAAAGACTTTAAAAAGAAAAGTGTAACGTGTTCTCTGCCTCTCGTCCTGGTCAGCACTCGGGCAGCAGAGTTCTGAATCCATTGTATTTAAATTGCAACATGAAATAATGCATTTACAGGATAAAGGACATAACATAGAAGATGAGACAACAGACATTAACAAAGGGATTATTAAATTAAGGTGTGTGTGAAAGTGTGTAGTGTGGGTGTATCCATCTCTTTGCAAACTGATATTCAGTACATACTAAAGAAAAATAAAATTTAAATAAATAAATTGAGAAATTTAGTGGGGAGGTTAATCTAAAAAAAAAAAGTGTGAGATGAGACAACAGACATTAACAAAGGGATTATTAAATTAAGGTGTGTGTGAAAGTGTGTAGTGTGGGTGTATCCATCTCTTTGCAAACTGATATTCAGTACATACTAAAGAAAAATAAAATTTAAATAAATAAATTGAGAAATTTAGTGGGGAGGTTAATCTAAAAAAAAAAAGTGTGAGGTGTTAAATCAATAAAAGAACAGGAGAGTATTGGTGATGCCCCCTCCCTGAACCACCAGCACCACTTGTGGAGCTCTGGAGCAGCTCAGCAGGGTGAGGTCGTCCAGGGCAGCAGGACAGCAGCGTTCTTGTGTTATGGTTAAGTTCAACCTTTCCCTTTGTTTTACTGTTGGTTTATGTTAATAATTGATTGTTGGGACAAACAGCTTGGTGTCGGCCCTGGACCTTGAAAGACCTGACTCAATGTGTGGTGTGTTCCCCTCCTAAACAACTCCCAAACCCTGAGGAGGGAGCTTGTCTAAGAGGGTGTCGTCAGTCCAGTGACGCTATATGCAGTTAAGGAAAGGAAGCAGTGACCTAGCCTTCCTCCCCCATGCTGTGCCCCCCCAGAGAAACCCCAAGAGTGACCCCAGATTGCATGCCCCAGCTGCTGAGGACAAGGTGGAGCATCGCCTAATACAATTCCTGGTTTGTTAATAGTGGAGAAAGATGAATGGGTAAATACATCAGTTTAATAGAAAATGGATGATTGTAATAATAAAATAAAAGTAAAAAAAAAACTAATAAAGCAGTTTTGATCATATAAATACAATATATACACATGCATACAGATAAAACAAAAATAAATGAAAATAATTCAGTAAATGATTAGAAAGAGAGGAAAGAGAAAAAAGAAAGGAAGAAGGGGGGGTAGGTTATATTCTCTGTTAATCTAGTTTGATTGATCAGTGTGACCTACTCAAAACAGTAGCATGGACAATGAGCACTAAAAACAGTAACAATAGTGAAATAAAAAGCCACTTCTTATA